TATATATATATATATATATATATATACATGTCTTAATTCAACCTTAATCTGAGTTTCTGGACAACAAAGAGGGTAAGCAGTTGAAATTTGATTTTAAAACCCATCTTTTTTTGTCTTTTCATGACTTATGATCTGTCAAATTTGTAGTTTTCTTTATTAGTTTTAAGTGTTTATCTTGAAACTCAAGTTTTTTGGTTATTTGCTCTTGGTGTAAATCAAATACATTTGTGGAGTCGTTTAAATATGTTGGATTTTAAATATATTGGATTTTAAACTGTCATACAATTTTTTCATCGATAGTCTGTAATTGAAACTATAACTCTTATTTATTCAAATTGTATTAATATGTAAAGACCAAGTGTAACATATATTATCGTTAAATCTTATCTTACAAAAACAGTGGAACTTCAAAATCGTTAAAATTCATGGCTCCCGCTGCATTGCGTGGGTACACAACTAGTAAATTTAATAAGAGTGACCACTTTTACCTGTAAGTATTTATCTCGTACATCTCAGATTTAAATAATCCAAAGATAACTAAAAATAATACAAAGTAAAAAAGATGGGGTGAGAGAGGCTCGAACTCTCGACCTCAGGATCACTCGTAGCTATGAGACCTACGCGCTAGCCAACTGCGCCACCACCCCATTTGTTTAACTCTTTCTAGTTCAAAACTATAAACAAAATCAATAAATTAGAAAGTGTCCACCATTTGTCCCTGTGGTTTTCTAAAACTACTACTTTAGTCCCTATGTTTTTGATATTACCATATTCGTTTTCATGGTTCTCAATTCATTGTTCTTTTCGTTCATATGGTTTACGTTCGTTGTTGTGTTTGGTCCATGTGATTTAACGATAAACCATTAATGGAATCGGCTTCAGAGATAAAAATAACGATAAGTTGTAAACCATGATGACGAAATCCGTAATTCCGAAAACACGTGAATGAAAGTTGCACTTTCTTCAATACAAACTATAGGGACGAAAACACATAGTTTCCTCAATTCTAACATTCCCCCTCACGTTTCCAATCAACAAGATTTTTTTACTCGAATTAAATTCAAGCAATCTCACTACGAATCTACAAAAATTAGGGAGTTGATTGCTTTTGAAATATACTGCAAGTGTTATATTGTTATCTACTTTAAATAAACTAAGCTATTAACTGAAATTCTATCTGGTAATTAAAGATCGATTCGGTTTTATTGGATGTTGGACTGCTATCCAATAACCGACCGGCCCGATCTAGATGTTGAAATTTTGGATCTGATCCAATCCAATTACAATTAGATATATCCAATGATGATCGGTCGGTTTCAATTGGATCAGTTGACTTTCTACACACACCTAATGACAAGGGGCAAAAATCTTACTCGGTAAGAACAAAGATAAAAATGAAGAGTCTTATCAAGTAAAACAAATTAAAGTATTGACTTTTACCGTCAATCACTTATCAGATAAACAGTTAAATAAACGACCCCTTGATCGGTTTATTTTGGAAAAAGAAGAATAATTGACGTAGCCTTTTTCATGTGTCATAGTCGGATGACTCGAAGAGACGACTTGGGTCAAGTCTTCTATACTTTGTTTTTCAATCACAATAAATAAAAATTTAATTATTAAAAATAAAATATCCTTCAAAAATTATATTTTCCTAAAATACCCCTTTAAAACTTATTTTTCTCTTTCGTCTTTTTGTTCGGTTTTCTTCGTTTTTGAATAGGATATATGAGTTCGACATGCTTAATTACAACAATGTAGTTTTAAATTATTTTTTATTCGGACATCATACATTGAAAAAGTTACCTGTTATAATAAATGGGTAATTTGTTGCTTTTTAAACCGGTTAATTTCTTTACTTTTTGTTTGTTTGTTTGTTTGGTTTCAATGAGAATGTGGATGAGACATCATTTTGATGATATGGCTAAAAAAAACATAATTCAAATTATTATTATGATTTTCATTTTTATTGCTATGATTAAAAAGAAACATTTAATTTTTTTGATTTTTTTTATTAAATTGTATGCAAGTTAAATATTCTAAAATAAATATTTCTTGAAATAAATATGATATATTATTTTTGAGATAATCATTTTGTTTGTTAAAAAAAGTAATACTTCTTATTTTATTTTGTTTAAAAAAATACATATCTTTTAAAGTTATTTTTAAGATATTGGCAAGATAAATTGTAATATACAATTTTTTTTTAATATTATTATATTAATGAATAATTCCAAAAAAAATTATTTAATTTAATATATTTGTATGCGAGATAATTTTTTTAAACAAGTATTACATATTCTTTAAAATGTTAGTGACATGAATTGTGTTCTACTAGTTTTGGTAATATTAGTATATTAACGAATAATTTATAATTTTTTTAATTTATGTAATATATTTATTAAATAATATGTAAAATGTATTTGAGTTCTAACAAAATATTTAATTATTATCTAAAAAAAATTATTTTATTAAACAAAAAATAAATTAGTTTATTATTAAACTTTAATTAAATTATAATAAAAATTGAATTAAAGAAATTATATAAAAACAAGAATTTTTATAACATATTCAAATTTATATTTCATTTAAAAATAAAAACATTTTTATTTTTTCAAAACAACGTAAAATCACATTAATTGGTAAAGACAAAAGATAAAACAAAATATTAAAATCAACATGTATGTAGTGTTCTGATATCTTAAAACCGACTCAAATCCTGATATACACAGTTACTAAAATACCTGATATACACAGTTACTAAAATATTTATGGACATCCATGGTGATTGTACGGAAATCAATGCTGGATTTGATCCAACATGGACCTACATTCCTTACTGCTTGGCCTTTCTTTCGGGTTATCCAGCGTACAGAAACATGCGATCTTGAGAACCAGAAGCATTTGTTTCTCGTATCCGTTCTCGAACAGATTGGGATCGATCGCTTGTTTTGGGTCTTCCGAAGTGATCGCCTTCTTCATCCATTTTACCAGACTGATTTCCGACGTGCGTTGGAAAAACTCGTCGGACGGGAGCTTTCCCATCACCAACACTCCTAACAACACCCCGAAGCTGTATATATCACATTTGTCGGTGAATTTCATCGTCTGGTGGTATTCGGGGGCGATGTAGCCGAGGGTTCCTGCAACGTTGGAGCTCGTCATGTGAGTGTCGGCTTCCGGTATGGATTTGGCGAGACCGAAATCGGCGATTCGAGCCTCCATGTCGTCGTCGAGAAGCACGTTGCCGGGTTTTAGGTCTCGGTGGACGATTCGTGGAGTGTGGTGTATGTGAAGATACTCGAGCCCGGATGCGATCCCGATCGCGATCTTGTGACGTGCGAGCCAGTCTAACTCTCGAGTGCCGTTGTTAGCCTCTTCGAGGATGTCTTGCAAGCTCCCGTTTTTCATGAATTCGTAAACCAGGTAATGGCAGTTCGGTCGGGAAACGTGGGCGAGTAACGGGAGGAGATTCCGATGGCGGATTTGGCCGACGGTTTGGATTTCCGATCGGATTTGACGCATTTTCTTGTTGAGGAATTTGGTGTCTTCTTCAGTGAGCTCTGCAGCATCTTTTGGAGGTTGTGTGACCTTTTTAATGGCGATTGTTTTGATTCTTCCTTTTGGTATATCGGTTCTGTAAACTTCTCCACAACCACCTCTTCCGATGACTTGCAGTGACGCAATTCCGTCGTCATTTTCAAGAAAAGCGAGCTCCTCCGCCTTGATTAATTGACTAAAGATCGCCGGACCCACCTGGTTTACGCCACCTTTAAGCATAATAAAAACCAATTTGAAGAAAACTGTGAAGATCATAACGGAAAGAATTCCTGCTAATAATCCAGCAAAAAACCCAAGAATCCAACCCATCAGTTTCTTTGTGGCTTTATGATTGGGTTTGTGCTTTGGAGGCGACCCTATCGGAGGTTCTGCCGGCGCCGGAGCTGGAGCCGGAGATTGGAAGTCATTAGGGTTAGAGCTTGTGTTTTGATTGCTTGAAGAATTTGTTGATTCAGCGAAGATATAACGTTTTGGAACACGCTTGGAGTTAGTATTCCTCTTCGTCTTCAGCTCCGGTAACGGAGATTCCAATTGGTTTAACGCCGGCAACGGGCCTTCCAAGAAACTATTGCCGGAGATGTTGAAAAACCGGAGGTTTCGGAAGGAACGTAACGACGCCGGTACTTTTCCGGTAAACATGTTATCAGCAAGAGAGAGTTTTTCAAGGTTTGGAAAATACTTCAAGAAACTCAAGTCGCCGGAGAACTTATTGGAAGAAAGATCCAGGATACGAAGGCGGAGGAGCGACGATAATTCAGGTGAGACCGCGCCGGAAAATCGATTATTACGGAGGTTAATAACTTCCAGTTTCCGGCATTCGATGATTTGAGATGGGATACGATCAACAAGATAATTGTTAGGGAAAGACAGTTCTTTGAGTTCCGACAACTCCCCAATCGCCGGCGAGAGAACCCCTCTTAGCCCTTGAGCTTTGAAGACAATTCCGGTGACCTTAAGAACATGTGAATTGATTGAAATTCTCCGTTCACAGAATATCCCGGCGGTGTTGCAGAGGTTGTCCGGTCGACGGAGCTCCGGTGAGACACCCAGGTCTTGGAGAATTGTTAAGAGAGCACGGTGGTCGGCGGTGTGGAGATTGGGGTTAGCATGAAGTGAGAGGGTTAGAGTGAAGAAGAGGAGTAGGGAGAGGTGGTTGATGGTGGCCATTGGCTGTGGTTAACGGCGGAGGCCGGAGTATAAATGGTAAAACAGGAGCATGTTCATTTTTATAAGGTCGGATGTTGGATGCAGATTACGGTGGAAATTTTGAAGCTCGTTTTCAAATAAACGTGTAGAAAAAGGCGGTGACGGGCCTTTTAAACGACTTACTTTTTCCAGTCAAACTTGTTTCTATTTGGATTTCCTAATTTACCCTTCTATAAAAAAATATTTATTTCTAAAATATATATTTTTATAATCATTTCTAAAATAAAAAATAGTTGATTCATTATTTATTATTCATTAATTTTTTAGTTTTCTTTACAAACTTTACATTATATTTTTTTAACTATTTTTTTATCTTTTTATAAAAAAAAAGACATACGTACTGAAACTTTTTATTAAAATATCATTGTTGAATTTATTTTGAAGTTGTGATTTTGTAATTACTAAATTAAAGTGTGTAACGTATAAAACGCATAAATCAAACCAAAACATACCACACCACATTTCTCAATGTCGTTTTTTTCTCGGCTTGAAAACAAACCATTTACACAGTATGATTCACGGTCTGGCTTCATAAAACACTACTAAATTTCAATATGTCGTTTTAGGAATAATAAAGTAGATGTTGATATTATATCAATTATTTCAAAAAAACCATGCATATTGATGTTGATATATATATATATATATATAGAGAGAGAGAGAGAGAGATGAACTATCAAATACAAACCGCTTTCTTTTGTATAAACTGTACAAACTAGCAGCATAATTTTATTTAATTTTATTTATTTTTAATTCATAAGGGTATGATCATCCTTTGACTTTATAATAAATAATTTTAGTAATATTTTAATTGTGTTTAAATCGGGAAGATTATATAGATTAGAGGTTTTTTAGGAAATGATCAATTAATTTGTTTTAAATGATAATCTTGAAACCGGTAAATTTTTAATAGATACTTACAAACATGAATGAAACAGGGTAATTTCCAATAAAACATGCTCAAACAGTTTAATGAAACAAGGTCATATATAATTGCATTAGGTTCATAGTTATAACAGCTGTAATGAAATAGGTTTATATTCATATGTATGTATAACAATTTGTATTGAAACATGTTCATATGTATAACAGTTGTAATGAAATAAGTTCATTGGATATATATGTATAACAACTGTAATGAAATAAGTTTATAGAACACGTTTTTCCCTGTTTTGCTCTTCCGTGTCTCCAATATGAATTTTTTTTTTCACTTTACTTCTTTAGTTTGTTTCAATCTTCGCTTTGCATTAAAAAAAAGATTAATGTTATCAGTTTGTAAGGTTTGTATCAAATAGATGGTTTGCAAAGTAAACCTCATATATATATATATATATATATATATATATATATATGGGGCAAATTTATCTATCTGCCTATTAATGATAATGGTTAACAGAGGTAAAAATCAACCAACATTTAATTCATTAAAACAAAGTAACATCGATTGAACCCGTCTCTTATAAATCACATGTGAGCAAACGTTTTGGAGTTGATTTCGCGGCTGAGGCTAGTAGAGGGGTTCAAGCTTTTTCTCCTACGTAATTCAAACTAGAACATGTTGTATATTAGAGCAAAACCGCTCCACCTCTTTGACAGCTGAGTTACACGTGTTAATCAGTGAAACAAGTTAGGGGATTGTTTAGTATTAGAACCAAATTAAAGTTGTGGAATGTATCCCTATTTGTTTTAAGATAGAATTCAAGAGGGAATAGTCGGGGATATGTGTGCATTTGGGTCAAAACAGATGTAGTGACGGACGAAAGTGAGATCGAGGCGAGCAAGTCACGTAGCTGGGAGCTCTTAAGGCGACGTGAGCTTGGAAGCTTGCACTGAAGGTCGTGTTGACTAGTCAATGCTAAGTGGTGAACACGACTTAGTAAGTGAGTGTGTAGATGTGCTTGGGGTCGAGTATGAGGTCGTGTTGACGTTTGAGACCAGTTGACTTGACCTTGCACATTTCTTAATGCAAGATTAATAGCCACAAGTATTTAACGCTAAGGATCTGTTTATCAAACGCTTATCGGCAAGTAACCACTCTTACTTACCTGGTGTAACATTCTCAACCATCAAAATAGATTGTTGGTAAGCATTTTTTACCTGGTAAACATTTACCGAGTAAGAGTTTTCTCCCTCACTTGTCAGGTAAGATTCTCGGTCATTGTTATGTTCACACAATAAAATAAATGATACCCGGTACACGCTTACTCAATAAAAGTTTGGTAAACGATCTTTAAAACTAGCCAGTATGCGAGTATGTGAGAAAATATGAGCTAGAGTAGCGGAATATGCGTCGACAGTATTTACTAGGGACGGAAACGTCACAGGGTAATGAAGGATCGGTTTCGTTGCATCAAAAGCAAGTTGTGGTCACATTAAATAACGATAACCGACGAGAGTTATATGGAGTATCCCGAGAAACTAATACGTGAGTACTTGAACATCCTGTGTTGCGTGATAGTTTATTCACGAAACTTGTTGTAATGATGAGATGTCTTCTTAACCATGAACTCATTGAGTTTTATAAATTGAACAGTAACATTCTATAAATTATAATACATATTTTTATAATATGGTTGAGTTCACGTAAGACTAGCCTGTTTCTGTAAGACACTTGAGACCACAAAATAACACTGGGACGTTACAGCAAAACATTGTGAAGGTACGAAAAAAACCAAGTCTTCACAGCAAAACACTCTGAAGGCAGTCTATTTTCATGAGACCTATAAGAGCACAAAATAACATTGAAATTTCAAAGCAAAACATTGCAAATTTGCTACAAACACCGAAACTTCACAGCAAAAACCCTATGAAGATGCAATATTATTTATATGGTCTTACAAGTCTCACAAAAACAGACTGATGTCATATGATCTCAAGTCTAAAACTGATAAATTGTAAAATTCAACGAAATAATTTTTTCGCAGTGTTGTTAAATAACTAAAAAAGATTTGTTTTGTTGTTTTTGAAATGGTGGTAACATTTTTACCTACTATCTAAATGAACTTAACCCACGACGATCTACTCGGAATACCACCGTTAACCACCGTGAGCATGTAGAAACCCGGTGGTGAGGCGTAAATCGAAGGCGGAGCCACCGCTTTTGCCTCCACCAAACCCCGACTACCCCTCTCCAGACTCAAACACTCGAGTCTCAACATTCTTTGATTCATTGATAACGAGTGGGTTGTAAACGGCGGAGCGTACGCCACAACGCTCAAATTTTGCGGCTCGGATGCAAGCCGGAAACTGACATTGAAAGTTTCTCCGTTCTTGACACCAGTTGAATGTTGTGGGTAGACGACCGTAACGTTTTTTGGTCGGAGATGGTCGAACCGGTTGCTCATGTAGTCTGGCACAAGAGCTTGTAGTCGCAGCTCGGTTGGGTGAGCCACCCCGCGTAAAATGTACCGGTTATTAGGGTTCCCACCAGCTACCAAGATCCGACCGTCGGGTAATAGGACGGCGGACGAATGATACATGCGGGAGATTTTCGTTTGCTTTAGAACCTGAAATCGTCGGCCCACTAACTGACTAGGTCGGTAGAGGTAGGGTTCAAGAGCCGGATCCGATGCGCTATTCCATCCGGCAGAACCCCGTTTTGCGCCATTGATGATCAGGACATCACCGGTCGGCAAAATCAACATGTCACTCATGAGCCGTGGTCCGGGCATGTTTTCCATCCGCCATCGGTGGTGGTTTCCGGTGATGACCATTCTCCCACAAGACCGTAAACCCATCAAGTATTTATGCTGCTGAGCCGCAACATAGGAGCCATGGGCGGCACCACCGCAAACCATGACTTCAACTTTAGTGAAGTTGTCATTATGGTCTAAAGGAAGAATCACGGAAGAACCAGTGCTCGGGTAGCTACGTCCTCCGTTTCCTGGGATTGTCGGGAACTTCTTCACAACCTTATGTCTTTTATAATCGAAAAGAATCGAATCCCGATTAGCGAAAATGAACAAATGTCCATCACTTGATAAGTGTAAGATCGGGTACAAATTGTTCCCTTTCGAGTTTCTCTCGTACGTACGGTGCAAGAGAGGGAGATTGTACGGTCCACGCGGGCCCGAAGATTTTGGTACAAATTCGTAAGTAAAAACCGATTGTCCTCCGACAACTATAACACCATTCTCCTGTGGGAGATAAAGGCTCGAAGCATACCAACGCCTAACTGATAACTGCTTCTTCTGTTCTGTCCAATCGCATCGGCTATTGGTACAAGGCTTGTAATATCGGATTTTTCTCGACCCTGCCCCATTACCGCCCGTTTGAAGGAGACTTCCGTTGCTCAAGAACGAACCCGACGAGCACCAGGTATCGGTCGCAAGATGTAGAGCCCTAACTCGGTTTTTCAACACATTATACTCTACCGAATGTGCATAGCACGACGCATCATCGCCGGTCCTACACTTCTTTCCTTTATGTTGGTGACGAAGCCGGTACTTAGACGGGCCCGCTTCCGTCTGATCGAATATCACAACGTTATTATGATGGGTCACCGCCATGTGCATAGCTACAACACCCGTGTTATTCAAGAGAAGTTTCCAATTCCAGTGGCTATCGACACCCACCGTTCTACCTACGACACGATTCAACAGTAAAAGAACGAGCATCAACCGCTCGAGTAACCTACATGAGACCCGTCTACGTTCCATGGGAGAATCAGATAGAAACTAACTATGATCTCAAGAAACAAATCTAAGGTATTTGTAGCTGGGAAACTAACGGGCATCGTGCAAATAGATCGATTCAACTGTTTCGCTAAAGAAATGCATATGGTACATCCTAAAACTGTGCAACTACTTTACAAAGATCACAAGAAAAACTTACCCTAAGATTTTCCGATTCTTTCGGACCAAAAGGCACGCAGGTGAACCGACTGCAACATATACAAATCGATAACAATATCGATATCGTTAAACACAATGAAGAACAAGAATATGAACAAAAACGTAGTGTTTGGAACAAACTTGCACCACGAGAACGTAGCGTTTAATAAAGCTTGATCCTGGTCTGTATGTGACTCCGGCAAATCGGGCAAAGTTGAAGGTCGGTGCCACATTCACAACATGTCTGGAAACATAGGAGGAAAACGAAGAAATTAACTTATTTGTACGTATATTTTCTTTCAATAGGTTAAGGTATATGCGGAAAATCTACCTGATGCCCACAACCAAAGGCCATATCTTTTCGGTTCGTTATGCAAATGGGACAAAGCTGCAAAGAACGCATAAACAAAGGTTTAATTACACGATTTAGGGGTCAAAACTCAAAAGGTCTCTTTTTTTACATGGGCTTCCTGCTTTTAGATAACATATATGCGCAGATGTAAAATTGCGTAGTAGATTACGGTAACTTTAAGAACTTTTAATACATAAAGATCATAAGTTAATAGAATGCGACACTTACGTTGCTATCCGAGGTAGAAGTCCCATGGTAATTTGTATTAGCCGATGGTTCTTTTCTCTGAAAAGTCGGTGCAATTGGTTGGAAAGTAGCAGAACGAGAAGGCTTTGGTCCACCTAAAGATGCGGAACCATAACATGGTGGCGGAAGAGAAACCCGATCAATAACCTTCCCTCGACGAGCACTGCGAGATTATATTCATAAATGTAACTATAAGAAATTTGCCTTCAATTTCTATATATGTACAAGGAGTGAGCTGCGTTTCAAATAGTTCTACATGGCATTTTATTTTTAACCAACCAACATACCTGAAAATTTGCAAAAAAGGGCAGCCTGAGTTTGAGAAATTGTCCAAAATAGTCAACCAGGCCTCCCCTCTTCACTTTATAGCCACACTTTCATCAAATTGACCGAAATAGCCGAAGATTACGCAAGTAGCACTTAAGCAACTTGTGTAATCTACTTTTACAATATTATATTCAGGAAAATTAGACATTGCACAAGTTGCGAAAGTGCTACTTGCGATATGTCTACGTGGCTTGCGTAATGTCTAATTTTCCTGATTATTTTATTGGAAAAAGTGGGTTGTGTAAGTGCTACTTGCGTAATCTCCGGCTATTTTGGTTACAGTGTTAGAAACGTGGCTATAAAGTGAAAATGGAAAGCGCAATTGGCTATTTTGGACCATTTCCAGCCGAGTTTGCAGAAAATAACATCAGATACACAACAGTTGGCAGGAAATTCGCAAAAATAATACAACTTTTGGAGGGTTATGATGATAGTTTCTGCCAACTCTAGTGTTTCCTTTTTCTTTTGCATATTTCCATGTTTATTTTTCAGAAACAAAGTGTGTAAGTACACCGGTTCAAAATGCTTATCACTTCATAAAATAGTTGAAAACGAAGTGTCAAGTAAAATGGTTCGAAATGCTGATCACTCTATAAAAATATATGATTATTGAAGCAAAAAGGTAAAAAGGACTTGAGAGCATAAAAGGTAAGTGAAAGGTCACCCTAATATGTTGAGCTCTAGCGTTGCCTTGTATTGTGAAGGTATCTCCATCAAGGCTGAAAGAGCAAACTCTGCTTCCTTCCTAGACGAATCCATGTTCTTCGACATAATTTCTGTGAAATTTACAAACTAAAACAAACAAAACAAGTAGCTCAGAGATCCAAAACGACGCAAGATCGAAAGAGTCAATATATGGGCCTATAAACTTTGATCGAAATGGTAAAATGGACATGAAGTTTATAACACAGGAGAAGGGTCTTTAAATCTCTGAAGAATTTGATATAGGCTTTTGAGGGTAACCCTTTATGGCTTTCAAGTAAAGAGAAGTGAAAACCGACTATTTTGGCCTTGACTATAAATAAAACCAAACGAACCAAGTAAATCCCATGGGTCCGGAGAGGGTATGATGTATGCGGCCTTTTCTCTACCCCAAGGAGTAAAAGGGCTGTTTCCATCGACCCCAGAAAAAAACTTGCCTGAAAATTGTCAAAAGCTCGAGCAGGGATATTGTCGTCAAAATCCTTCATCATGTCCCATGGTCCATCTCCAACCCCAACTAATACAATTGACAAGGGGTACTCGCTATAAATAGAAAAAGAATACATTTTAGTATTGGTCGAAAAGCTTCCATATGTGAAAACATAAGAAAACTGGACATTTGAAATTTACCTAGCTTTCACAATCGCCTCCACCGTTCTCCTTTCCTGTGGACTTAGTTGCCCACGGTCAGTATCAACACTTCTTGTGACCTGTGTGCGATAATTTTAGCAGCCAAGCAACATATAGACAAATGCAAGATAGTATAAGTTTGAAAGAAAGCAGTTTTTTGTAAAACTACCTGCCCATCGGCAATGATCAACAAGACATGATACTGACCACCACTTTGTTCGACAATGGTAACAGCCATTTCAATAATAGGGGCGAACGATGTAGGTCCTGTTTAGCGTGCAGAAAAGAACAGAGGTATAAGTTTTGAGAATAATTGACCTTTTGAACGGAAGTATTTTGTGTTTGGGCTAATTTCTACAAACAATGCACAAAAGTCCCAAAGCAATACCAAAATGTGCAAAGATGCAACCCAACAATCAATACGGAATATGAGGATCCTAAATGTGTCCAAATGTACCAACAAGTAGAAAATGCAATCCAAATTGATACTCAAACAATATAAATGCTTAACGTGGTTCCACTATCGTGAGATAGTGTACATCCTAAGGGGAGATTTGGAGCTTGTATAGTGATGAACAAACGGAAGAGATTACAATACAGTTTACCTTGGGGCAAAGATCCTACAATCTCAAGGTAAAAAGCTCTCAAAATGAATTACATTTAAAGCCAAAAGCACCCTAGGGAAGAGTTGTAAGCAAGACACACAAAAACCTAGCTGAAACAGCGCCTAAAAGGCTGAAACATAGCTTCATGCAACCCTACCCGCGACGTAAGTCGCTGGGTAGGTCGCTCGTGTAGCCCAAATCCCACCTGAAGTCCAGTAGCATACGTGACCCAAGCCGCGACCCTAGGTCGTGCCCATTTTGGGCCCAAATCGGTCGGTTTCTTATGGGGGTGGCGGGTATCGAAAAGTACAACATTTTGCTTTTTGTTGTGCAAACTAAACATCATTCCTGGGAAGATGACAAAATACATTATAGTTTGAAAGAATAAGCGATTTGGACAAAGTGTAGAAATGTAAATGCAAAAACAGGAAAATACTTTCCATTGTATACATTTTGACAAGAAAATTGTAACGAAAATGATAAAACTAATAGCAACCTGCAAGACGCAGTTGAGGTACTAATTCCCTGTACCGTCTCAAAACATCCTCGAATCCATCACAAAATTTCTCATCTGGGTAGAAGCTGAAGACTTCTTGATCATGAGTTGAAGCTGTCAAATGACAAAATCACATAAGTGGCCACAACTTTGAACAACTCAAGCAAGTTAACTACAATTTTTCAAATTTATACCATCTCCGAATCCATAACAAGGAATTAAATTATCCTCATCAAAGGAAGCGAGTGTCCTTCCAATTATGGATATAGCTTCTTCATAAGGGTTTATGTCGTTTCCAATGTGATGCAAGCTTCGTCGATGAAACGACCTTGCGCCTAATATGAACAGAGGTAAAGATCATTCTAAAAAGCCCCCCCAAAAACATATATAAATGTATCAAGACATCCAAGATTAAGTTCAACCGGTCCACTCATTGCTCTTGGTAAAATCCACACCAACAATCAAATTTGAAGACTCCAAACCAGCACGCACTAGAGCATCGGTAACCTGAAGAAAGTAACACGAAGGGTTAATTTCCAACAAGAAAAAAGGTGCTATGAGTTGTTCACCGATTTAACAAACAACAATGATGGTAAACCAACTCGCCAAATATTTGTTTCAAAATTGACTAAAAAACCATATTTGTCAAGTTTTTGCTAAAGTTATATACATAGTTAAACTGGCAAATCAGCTAAAGCACATTTGTCTTTTTAGTAATTAACCCTAACAAGAAAGCAAACAACCATTTTTAGTTCTCAAGATTAATAAATAAAAGATAAAACTTAATATAATTATGAAAGAAGTCAAAGATCATAAATATTTTATTGTAAATGCATAGTGAGAAGGGCAAACCCCAAGATCGTTGTACATTGAAAAACAAGATAGGTGCCATCATTAGAGTTCTTTAGACCTCAGAAAAGCACTGGCTTTGTTCAAAGTGAACTAAATCTTTTAACTACTATATTGTTTAAAGCTTAACCTTTTCCTCATTAAATTGAGAAGGGAACTGAATGACAGTACAGTTACAATGGTGCCCAAATACATAGAAAATGGTGTTACCTGCTCTAAGTTGTTGTAATTATCATCTATTCTTGAGTATTTTCTCTCTAGCTTCCTCTTAACTGTGGGAACCCTATCTGGATAGCTTTGAGAAGGAGAAGGGGAAACATATGGTTGTTGCATAGGTGGTTGAGGGTATGGCGATTGCGGGTACGGCGATGGTGATTGCGGATACGGTGATTGTGATTGCGAATAAGCCCATGAATTTGATGATGAGCCATATGATGAGTACCTACCTGACACAGCCCTCTTTGAACTTTTGCCACCCATGAACTCTAGTCCTCACGGCTCTGTAATTTATATCAAAGTACCTAATTAATAGGAGTAAGCATCTAACATATCAAAAGAAGGTAGATACTAAATATATACAAAAGATTAGCAATCCGAATCAAGGAAAATAACAGCTTATGCCGAATGGTAGTACGGGCGGCTAAACAGACCTCCAAGCCTGAATGGGGGACAAGTACAAGGCAAGGGTGCACCCTGAATGGCCACCATAACAATTTCTTCTCTGATCTGTTCTACAACTCTATAAATAGCATAGCCAACCCAACAAATTTTCATATTGGTGTTTTTTACAACACACATGAGGCCGATGAAGTTGGTAAGTCCACGGCCCACACCTCATATTATCTAGGAACACTTGGACATTAGATTCAACCTTAATAGCCTAATGTAACCAAAACAAAAGGCGTGTCTTACTATTAACTTATCCTTTAAAATTGGAAGAAAGAAATAAATCCATGGCCAGCCTACTTTTGACCAAACAGCTACAAGTCTTAGCATTCTTACCATAACCAACATTAATAGATATTAGATCCATGTACAAGTAAAATAAGCATAATGTCTGCCTATCATGTAGTTCTTTCACCTACCAAGACAAAACCATAGCCTAGCAGATTCTTGCCAAAAAGAAAGTTTCTGCTTTATCAAGTAAATCAGATAGCTTCTTTTCATAAGTAATTTGGTTATTTTAAAGCTAATTTTAATAAATGCAATTGGCAATCCGTTTGTTGAGAGGCAATACACCCGAAGTCAATATAATGAATTGCACCTCCTAGTATTCACCCGGACACCGAACCAAACCTCCAGCCTTTCTAAAGTTAGGTGCTAATAAAATTAAGCATCTACCAAGGTCATATCAAAATTAATTTTAAAAAGAATTATGATTACTCGACCAAACCGTCTGATTGGACTCTAGAAGCAATCAGAATCTGAAGGGAAAAATACATAGTTATAATGTAATTGTACCGATAATTAACAAGAATGGATATGAATCAAAGTTAGAACCTCATCTTGTTGGTATATTTCAAGTCCATACTTACCAGTCAATTCATAAACATATATATCGAACATTAAACTTTTCTTAACACCGTTAATCACTACATATAACTTCATATTAGCTTCTACAGAAAGGAACAAGAATAGCATCAAATTTTGACGCCAATCCATAGACTTTTGAAAAGTCACTCCAAAAGTCAAGGTCTTATCTCTTCTGTTCTGATACACTACAACACAAAATCAAACACGAAATTGAGAATCATGATCACTAAAACAAACAAATTATACTTCAATGAAACTAATCGGAATTCATCCACGCACACACACAGATCGAAATTGAAACCACCAATCGAATCAAACAAAACACAAGCGACTGAAATGGAATTAACTGCAATAAAACAAGCGTTACCAAGAACAGTACGGTATCAATTGAAGAAGAAAGTGTGTTGAGTTGTTGTAATCGGTGGAAAAAGTGAGTTACCTGGTGAATATAGGAGGAATGGAAAAGGGTTGGTGGTTGTAGGGGAAAATGGAAGTAGAGTTACAGGTGGCAATGGATTGAGACTGAAATATTTATTAACTCCATGGAAATCAACGGCAATCTGCAAGCTTTTGGAAGTTGAATTCCACCAAGTTTCCTTTTGATGTTAATGTGTGTCTAGGTTTTCGTGTCGTTGTTCGTCGTCGCTTCTTGAAGACGTCAAACCATGGAGTTGACCTATTACATATATAAAAAAAAATTATGGAAAACGAAAATATTTTATAAAGTAAATTATGTATAACTATCTGGAAAATTGGAACAAAATGAAATCAACTTTCATTTGATTTTTATTTTGGAAATCAATTTTTAAAATCGTTATTTAAGGGTCTTTATCAAACTTTTTGTTTATTTAAGGGTCTGATTGATCTATTGAACATGTAACATATAATTTAAGGGTCTCTATCAAACTTTTGATTTGATTTGCCAAATTTGATTTAAACTTTAATATTAATACCGATTGTTGAATATAAAAATCTTGAATGTGATATTTAATATTTATTTTTTATTGCATCAATTAATTTTTTCTATTAAATTAATTTTTTATTGCATTAGTAAAAGACAATTTTTATTGTGGTAATTTAGATTTTTTTTGAAAAAATCTTCAGTTTAATATCTGAATTAAAAAAAACGAGATTTGAAATGAAAATTAGATTTTATTGTATTAATTTTTGAAGAAAAAAACATATTTTAGTTATTTTTCTATAATTATTTTACAATTTTAAATATGACGTGAAATATTAGTTTTAAAATAAAAAATTAATATGACGTAAAATATCTTAGTTGACAAAAAAATTGGATGATATCAGCATTAATAGGTCAACCAGACCCTTAAATAAACAAAAAGTTCGATAGAGATCCTTAAATGACGATTTTGAAAGTTGGTTCCATTTTAGTGCAATTTTATAAATTTATGTAACTAGTTACAAATAAATATAAGATAAATATTTCTTTTTAAATATAAAAAATCTAAAACATAATTACGATAGTTGATTGGGTAAAAAAAAAAAAAAAAAAACATAAATATCATTCATTTAATGAAATGTTTTAACAACCATTAGCCCCTCGTGTGTTAATGGGCCAAATGCTCATCATGTGATCAATGCTTGTTAACGAACAAAAACCAAAGCGTCACGAAAATACAAACTCTAGTGACTAAATCCAAGATGAGATTAAAACATGGACTAAGGGGTCGTTCATCAAATGTTTACTTGAGTAAATGTTTACCAAATTATATTACTTTATCGGATGAATATGACAATAACAAAAAATCTTACCCGTTAAATGAGACAATGATTCTTATCACGGTTGGCTTTTACCAGATAAATTGTTGCATAGAAATTATTTTTATTGACTAAAATCTTATCCAATAAATAAATAATAATATTAAATTTTTTCGATAAATATTTATCTGGTAAGTGTTTGGTAAAGTCACCTTAAATCTATAATTTACTCGGAAAAATAAAATAAAGAAGTCAAAAGTAATGTCAGGAGACGGGTTAATCATATCCGTTTGGTTCATCAAAAGTTCTCACTTCTGCTATCTACTTTCCACAGCAATGGAGGTTCTCGGTCTTCCAGTTTCACCTCTCATCTCAACGCCCTTTAGTTACAACCACAATTCACATTGCAATAACCACCGATTGGGCAAAACCCAATGTTTCACCTCTTCATCGTTGATCTACAAACCCTTTCATCAAATTCAATACAAATCCGGTGTATGTTTATGCTTCAGTAATCCAAATTTCTCTCGTTTTAGTCGTTTTTTTTTGTGGTTTTTATGAATTTCGTGTCGGGAATTTTCTGTTCGTTTGATGATTCAGTACAGGGGGATCATAAGAGCGCAAGCGGTGGATGAAGATTACGAGTTAAAGCAAGTGAAAGATATGGCTGCAGCTAGGAAGAGATGGGAATCGTTGGTATTTTCTCAATTTTTGTATATTAATTGCGATTTTTCCCCACTGTTTATGTAAATTAGAATCAATTATTCAGTTAAATTTTGAATTGCATTCAAAGAATTTCGTGAGGGTTATTATATATTTGAATGTTTTACATTTGCATTCAGAATTGCTAAACTGTATGAAGATTTTGGTAAAGGGTTCTTATGGGCACTTTAATTTAGGGGAAAGAGAAAACAAGATGGTGTTCATGAGATGTAGAATGAAAAAGCAAGGAATCTGATGCAAAACGAATTAAAAACCTTGACCAATGTGTTTGTTAGTTTAGGTTGTGAGAATATGCGAGGAACCCTATTAGATTACTCTCCAAAAGAGCCGTTGTCCGTTGAGGAGAGGCGAGAGATTCCAACCTATATTGAGCCTTGAGGAGAAATTATCAAAGTCCGGCTCATGTGGACTTTAACACGCCCTCTCCAATTGAGGCTAGGCGGACATAGATTGTACCAGAGTGTGGAGAAGGGGCTACATGAATAGGGATTGTCATGTATATTGAGGATAAATAATCTAAGTCTGGCTGATGTGTACTCTAACACGCCCCTTCCAATAGAGGCTAGACAAACACAAATTGTCCCAAAGGGGGCTAGATGAGTACAGATTGTCATGAATATAAATTATATATACATGAAGGATCGTGTGAGAAAATGAATTAAATTGAGAAGTATAAGAAGGGATTTGGACCCTTGATCACTTTTAATCTCAAACCAACCCGTTGCACTTTAGAAGGGAATTGATTTGGTGTATCTCATTACACTTGAGTTAGTATTTCTCTTTAATTAGGATTGATCCAAGAGTGAAGATCCCTTCTTACCCTTCTCACCATAACTTTCATTCTCACTGAACCCTACCCTACATATAATATATATATATATATAGAGAGAGAGAGAGAGAGAGAGAGGAGAAATGATGACTCTTAACACACCCCCTCCAATCGAGGCTAGACGGAAACTATTTGTCTTGGAGTGTGGAGAGGGGGCTAGACGAATACAAATATCTCTGGGATGTCAAATCTCTGAAGTGGTAAATCTTGGCTCTTTATCGTGTGAGAATATGTGGAACCCCAGTAGATTGCTCTGCAAAAGAGCACTTGAGGAGAGAAAGGGGGTTCCAACATATGTAAAGGAGAAATCATCCAAGTCTAACCAATGTGGGACTCTAACATCATTTATTTGTGAGCTATTAAGGTATGCAATTTGACGTTCTATCTATCAAAGTTGATGATTGTCTGTTGGACATTGAATCGTGTTTTCAGTTTGTGCAATTCCTATTGTGTGTGTGATTATTGATCCCAACAATATCTGCATTAACTTGCTTATTCTCGCATCCTCTTTAGTTGAGTGGTTCGTGAAATGAAACTATGCAAGATGTATGCATCTTTTCAAATTTCCACACGTTTATCATAGGTGAGAGAGGGAAAAGTGAGCGTTCTTACACCGAGAGAAGCTGGATATGCAATTCAACTTTCGGGCAAAACCTTGCTTGACGTTCGTCCATCGATGGAGCATGAAAAGGTGAATAGCATTCATTCTAATTTCTTTTATGAAGTAGAGATGCTTGGATCTGCGTACATCTCACCCGAGACCCTACTTCTGCGTGGGATTTACTGGATATGATATTCTTGATAAGTTGTTTATAGGATAAAAAGTGTACACAAATATACACATTACTGATTCTTACTCGTGTTTTTGAAGGCGTGGGTTAAAGGGTCGACTTGGGTCCCAATCTTTGATGTCGATACTACGATTGATGCCGGAACTCTTTCAAGAAAGGTCACAAGTTACATGATGGGTATCACACCGTTTCATCTCGTGTTTGATTATCAAAAATTGCCGCTTTTTGACTAGTTTATCGAATATATACGATCACAGGCGGCTGGTGGAGTGGTGTGCCTACGTTATCTTACAATAAGTATGTCATGGATTGCAAGTCTTGCAATGAATTTAGCTGATGTTTGAAAGTAATTCTCAACTAACGATTTTGCTTTCTTCTACAGCCAATTCATACCGAAAGTTACCGAGAAATTCCCGAAAGATACAGACCTTATCGTTGCATGCCAAAAGGGATTACGGTAAACGTTTCTCTTGAATAACGGTTTTTTGTTTCCTTTTTCTGATTTATGTTAAGTGAAATGGTTGCAGATCGCTAGCCGCTTGTGAGCTACTATACAATGCTGGTTATAGAAACCTTTTCTGGGTTCAAGGAGGTCTAGAGGCTGCGGAAGAAGAGGTACCGTCGCTTGAAACAAAGTGTTCTTTTAGTCTTTTTATATGACAGTAGTGTTCTATAAAAACAAATGTCTTATAAGGGACGTGCTCAATTGTCGGATAAATAAGCTAATATGACACTTTCTATTTCAAAAGTGTTCTAAAGAACTTGTTGGGATGCCAAATACGTCCAATCAACTTATTGTAACACCTTTACATATGACACACAATTGTTTGGTCCTATAAACTTACGTCCTATAAAGCAGTCTATTAGAACATTTAAACGTATATGACGTCCTATGAGCTCATCCAAATAAATGAATAATAATTACTTGTGCCTTTTTGGCGATATGAACTAAAAAAACGTGAGTTGATACTTGATAGAGTAATCAAGTCTTGGTCGGTGCAGGATCTCGAAAGGGGAGGTCCTCAGCCGTTTAAGTTTGCCGGAATTGGTGGGCTTTCAGAGTTCCTCGGGTAACTATGAAGCTCGCTTTCATTTTCCGAACAATTTTCAACGAAATATGTTTCTGATTGTTTGTTCACCTTCTCTATTTGCTCTAATTATGTAGTTGGACCGACCAACAAAGAGCTCAAGCCGCAAAGGAGGGTTGGGGTTACCGACTAGTCTTTTCTGCTCGATTGGTAACAAGTTCTGAAACTTTCATTTTACATTATCATCTAGTTTATCAACCAATTTTTTACCGAACATGACTATTTTATCAGCTAACTTATTAGCCAAGAACTAGCTTATCTGCTATTTATCTAAACAATCTCAGACACCTCTACTTCTCAGATTGGGGTCGTTCTTGCTGCCGATGCGTTGTTTATCGGGGTTCAACAAGTCGCTCGTTATCTTCAAGATCTAAGAGCTAACTAAAGATCCGTTTTAATGAGGTGATTATACTGCTATCGCCTCACTAAATTTTGTCTATTTACGGTAACGACTAGTAGAGGTTTTTGTATAATTTAGTGTAGGAAACAATCGGATTCTTACGAGTTTTTTGTTATTCGATTGCTTGATGAATTCGTAAATCGTAACTAGAATGAGATGAACAACATACAAACAAGAAAATGAACTAAACGAACAAGGCCGTTAGGCCGGAGTTATTTTTCTATTTTTGGTAACTGTGGATGTTCAGGCTAGCTTGCACGCATCTCGACTAATTCGATGGCGCTTTGAAGATACGATTCAGGAAAATCCTGAGTAGCCCCAAAAAAGACTCGAAATGGGGACCTATGGGAGTAGCCTCAAGACCTAGCCTTTATTTTCCGGTTGAGCCGATCCTCGAGATTCGTTAGGTTGGAATTGCAACAGCGAGAAGAGGAACCCTTTTGCGCACGGCAACTCCCGGGCATTCGGTCATATCCAAATCCTCTCCGATCTCTCCATTGGCCAATTTCCAATCATACTTGTAGAGAAGGTTTGCTATCAAATTCTCGTTAGTAGCCATTGCAAACACAATTCCCGGGCAAATCCTCCTTCCGGCTCCGAATGGTATCAGCTCGAAGTCATGCCCTTTGAAATCGATACTAGAACCCAAGAACCTCTCTGGGCGAAACTCTTGAGGTTCGTCCCAAAGTTTCGGGTCCCGACCGATTGCCCATACATTCGTCATAACCGTCGTTCCCTTGGGGATATCGTACCCCATGACTCGGACGTCTTTCGAGGCGATGTTTGGAACGAGTAGCGGAAGCGGAGGATGGAGTCGGAGAGTCTCCTTGATTACTGCTTTTAGGTACGTCATCTTCTCGATATCCTCTTCAGCGAGGCCGGTCTTGCTGCCAGAAACTCCCCTCACTTCGTCTCGTGCTTTCTTCATTATATTTGGGTGTCTGAGGAGCTCCGCCATCACCCATTCTAGTACAGTAGCAGTTGTATCAGTTCCGGCGGTATATGCATCCAAAAGGAGTGCTTTGATGTTAGTCTTGTCGAGAAGAATCCCGTCTGTTTCGTCTTGTTGTATCTTGAGCACGATATCGACGAAATTATCGTAGTCGACGACATTTCCTGCGGTATCACGATGCTTCTTCTTACGCTCTTCTACTACTCCCTCCACGAATTCGTCAATTTCCCTCGCGATCCTTTCGACTTCCCTGTCGGAACCGTTGACACGATCGACCCATGCGAGACACGGAATGAAGTCGCCGATGTTGACAGAACCCAACGTCACGAGAAATTCCCGCAAAAGCTGCTTGAACTTCTTTCCGTTCGGCCCTTCGCCATACTTCCGCCCAAGCACTACCTCACACGTCACGTTGTTCGTGTACGTCACAAACAAATCACTTAGATTCACGGGTTTGTTGTCCAAATCATCAATGATTTCTAACAGGAGGGCGGTTTCTTTCGCTCGTACTGAGCGGAAAAACCGAACCCTCTTGGTGCTCAAAAGCTGGAGCACCATGATGCTTTTCAGCTGCCGCCAGTGGTCGCCGTATGGTGCCGCCGAGACGGTTTTACAGTCGTATAGAAGTTTCTTGGCCAATTTGGATTCGGGCCGACTTGCAAAGACGATGTCGTGAGTTTTCATGATCTCACAGGCGGCGTCGGCGGAGGAGGCGACCACCGTCGGGACGTTGCCGAGGTGAATGAGCATGAGGGGACCGTAACGGATGGATAATGAGCGGAGAGATTGGTGGGGGAGGGTGCCGAGTTGGTGGAAGTTTCCGATGATGGGCAACTTGAGTGGTGACGGCGGCGGGTTTCCGGTGGTTTTTGGAGGGAAGAATTGCCATTTGATGAAGAGAAGGATGACGAATGGCAGAAGAAATGGGTTCAACAAGAAGGTCAGCATGGTATCTGGTGGTGGTTATGCTCGATGGTTTGATTGTTGTTTATAGGGTGAAAGTGGCGGAGCCGGTGAGATAGTGGCGGAGGTGGCTGCCGGCCACCGTTGATGCGACTGACGTGTGTCCAATTGCGTTATTGCTTATGTTCTTAGATTGCTTGTGTCATCATTTCTTTCTTTTATTGTTGTGGATACGAACGAACGGCGGTCGAATCTTTTTCAGTAAATTACGTTTTTAGCCCCTGTGGTTTGTTGAAATTGCTATATTCATTCCTAGACTTTTAAATTTATAATTTACAATTCATTATTGTTTTCGTTTTTACGTAGGCTTGTAAATGAACCGAACGAACATGAACGTTGGGTTAATCGAACAAAATATGCATGATTTTACATATTAAATATTATGATATACATTATAAACTAATGTAAATGAATATAAATGAACAAACGAGACTAACGTTAACACTCGTTCATTTAACTAAATGAATAAAAAAATGTGTTCACATTCGTTCATTTATTAAATAAACAAACACAAACGCGCTTATGTTTTTATCTATCTTACTTAAAGGTAAGAATTAGCTTCAAAGACGAGAATATTAATATTATAAACAATAGAGACAAAAATGATAATTTTAAAACTACAAGGACACAAATAATAATTTTTTAACAAATCATGAAAGCCTACTTTACTCTAAAAAAATTAACAATCTCTATTTTGCATTGTTAGTTTATTTATTTATTTGTTTTATTATTATTATTTTCAAAGGATTGGGACCCAACAGGGACTGATTTTCCAACATTGTACAAATTATAATACAAAAGTAAATGGAATATTTGATGTTTATCTGTTATCTATACTATCTTATAAAACATTTGGTTAAAATTTTTAAAAACTCTTAAAACTTTTAAACCAGTTTATTTCTAAACGATTTCATCCCTATCCGATTTCATCCCATATCTGAATTCGTGTAACTAACTGCAGATAAACACAATCAAATACATGATAAACATCTCATTTTAAA